AGTCTTGAGTTTATCAGAATAGAAGTTGTTATAACTTAGTTTACTTATAAAATAAAGTAAATATGCACAAAAGTTTGATAAAATGTAAAAAAAAATTTACTTTCCAAAATCTTATTATACCTAATAACATATAGTAAATGCCGCGTGCTTCCAAAGTAAAGTTCGCCAAAAAAAATTTTATGGCTTAGTGGCTTTGAAAAATAAAAGTATGACATATACTTTATTATTTTTTACTATTTTAGTAAAATTATGTTAAAATTTTTGTTACACTAGAAATTGACAAAATCAGTGTACTAAGACAAATTAGTAAATGATCTGCGTCAAATTTATATGTAATTTTCTCTAATTGATTCGCAGATTGTCAATTAATATTAAAAATAAAAATTAAAATAAAATAAAAAATTAAATTAAATTAAAAATTAAAATTAAAAATAAAAATAAAAAATTAAAAAATTAAAATTAAAATTAAAAAAAAAAAATAAAAAAATAAAAATTAAATTAAAAATTAAAATTAAATTAAAAAATAAAAATAAAAATAAAATAAAAATAAAATTATTAAATAAAAAAATAAAAAAATAAATAAAAAATAAAAAATAAAAAATAAAAAATAAAAAAATTAATGCCTTCTTGGCAAAAAACTTCTCCTTCGTGAAGAATATGACCTCCTTCTGTATCTTCGGGAATGGGATCTTTGATCCCTTGAATGATTTCAGGAATGTAATCTACGATCCTGTGAACAATGATGGTGTGAATAGGATCTACGATCACGAGAATGACTACGAGAATGGGATCTATGATCTCGGCGAAAACGAGATCTATGTTAGTACTGGTACTAGCAGCGATCTACATGCTGTTTTCTATACCGACGACGATTTACGTCTAAAAATAATAAAAAATAATAAATAAATTAAAAAATTGAAGTTTTAAAAAGTAAAAAATATATTTCTTATTACTATTATTCAATAAATAATTACCGGTTTGAAGCTAAAATTCATCACCCAAGTCTGCATGAAATATCTGATCATACAGAGTTGGGTTTATTATTGGTTGATCATGAGGATTCTCTCCAGCTTCCAACCTTTTGAGATTTTCGTACCCATATTTTAATGAGTACTATTTCCTACGACATTGAGAGGGAAAAGTGGCGAATCCTCTCTATTAAGAAACAATTGGTTGCATATGGTTCTCCATATCCTTTCATGGCGATTGTTAAAAATGAACTCAAAATCGTTATGATTCTCGCGTCGAAGTCGAATTAATTCTCTTGTAGCTTCAATAGTCTATTCGAATGAAGCAACAACAGGAGCAACCAAAGCCATAATGATAGAAATAAAAAAAAGGAGGAAGACAAAATAGGCGGGATCGAGAAATAAAAAAAATGAAATAAACAGGAATCGAGAAATAAAAAGAAAGGAGGAGAAAACGAAATAAACGGGATCGAAAAATAGAGAAGGAAAAGGAAAAAAATGAAATAAACGAGATGAGAAATAAAAAAATAAAAAAAATGAAATAAACGGGATTGAGAAATAAAAAGAGAGAAGGAGAAAACGAAATAAACGGGATCGAAAAATAGAGAAGAAAAAAGAAAAAATGAAATAAACAAGATCAAAAAATAAAAAAAAATAAAAGAAAAAAATAAAATTAACAGGATCGAGAAATAAAAAAAGAGAAGGAGAAAACGAAATAAACAGAATCGAGAAATAGAGAGGAAAAAAAATGAAATAAACGAGATTGAAAAATAAAAAAAAAATAAAATTAACAGGATCGAGAAATAATAAAAAAAAAGAACGAAATAAACTAGATCGAGAAATAAAAAAAATAGAGGAGAATGGAATAGACAGGATCGAGAAATAAAAAAAAAATGAAATAAATGCTGATTGAGAAATTGACGTTAAATAAAAAGTCTGAAAAAAAAAGAAAAAAAAAACGAATTAGAAATAGCGATCGAAAAAATAGGTGAAATAAAAAAAAGAAATATTAAAAAAGAAAAAAAAAAAAAACAAATTAGAAATGGCAATCAAAAAAATAGGTGGAATAAAAAAATCGAAAGATAAAAGAGAAAGAGAGAGAGAAAGAGAGAGAAAGAAAGAAAAACGAATTTAAAAAAGAAAATGAATTAAAAGAATTGAAATAACAGACAAGAGAAGTTTTATATTTATGATTTTATTATGATATATTGTGAAAAATGATAGATACGTGAGCATAAATTACATATATTTATATCTTTTATTTTTATTAGAGAACTTTTAATAATACAATAAAATTATTATAAAAAACTGATCAATATCTAATACAAAGTCATCCCTTCGTTCTTTTGCTTCTTTTGCATTATTATTTCTATTATACAAAGACTAGATATTCTCATGTAATTGCATCCCTTCGTTATTGTTTAAAAAAATAAAAAAAATTTGTAAAATGTCAACATTTCGTTATTTTTGTATTATTATAACCACTGTTTTTAAAACCTAAAGATATCTTGTCACTTTGTTTGCTCGTGAAATGTCAACATTTAGTTTTTTTGTATTATTATAAGACTAAAAATATCCCATCTGTTATTTAATTGATAAATATAACATGAAAAGACAACCTTTTATTTCTTTTGTATTATTGAATTCCACCTTGAGAAATTTCATTTTTTGCTTTTTTTGTTTAGATCAAGTATTGTTAAAAAAAATAATACATAACAAGATGCAGAACACTAAAAAATTTTATCACGTGAAATATGTTATGTAATCATAATTTATTAATTTGTTTAATGATTGATGTATTATAATAATTTTGAAATTTAATTAATTTTTTATAGTAATAGATTTCTTAAACAGACATTTTTTCTTTAAGTCAAAAGAGAAATAATGTGAAATATCATTTTGAAAATCATTAGAT